TTTTTTTAATTGATTGATGATTGATTCAATCAACTAATTTGTTGATTGTATTAACTTGATTCTTTAGATATTGAAAATTAAATAAATAACATTATGTTAATTTAAGCGTACAGAAACGTTGCTGTTGTTCCAGCAAAAATCTTATTTTCACTTTACCGAGTGCCTAGTAGGTAGTTTGCAGATTACCTAGATAATCTGAACATTACCTAGGTAATTTGAGAAATGGAATAATTTTCGCAGCTTTAACGGATCACCCTAGTTAATCTGCAGATTAGCTAAGTAATGCGCACCTTAACGGATTTCGAGCTTTAGCGGTAACATATATATAAATATACACATTAAAGTTTTGCTTGCTAATCCATCACAGAGTGGCTGCAAAATCACCAAGATAGGCCAAAAGGCAATGAATGATGTGACCTATCACCTTTGGTACCGATTCTTTTTTTTTGGAGGCAAATGGATAAATATGGCATAACTGACATGTAATACTGTACACAGAATGAAATCCAAATAAAGAAGAAGAGAAAATGTGTGACATGGCTAACGTTTTCATATGCATAGGTAGACAATCACACTGCGATATGCCAGATAATTGAGAGGCCAGATTATGAAGAATATACTGTATATAAATGAATATTTAACCAGAGTAATATTTATTATGGCTGAGAAATTCATGAAAAAAATATACACTTTTTCTATTTTCCAATATATAATATAATAAAAGCAATAAATTACATTTTAAATCACTTTAAAGTTTCCAATAGCCTGATAACTAAGTTGGTTAAGTTGTCATCCTACCATTCTGGAAAACCCAGATCAGACCTGGGTGGTTGAAAAACCCTAGAAAGTTTTGGAGTAATCTATCCCAAATAGCCTACCAGTGGCCAAGCGGTTCTGTTCCTCAGACATTGGGAGTTCAGTCATGGGTTTGTGCCTCACCAGGACAGGCTGGCCACAGGAGTTTTCCAAGTTTTCTCCATGTCTGTAATGCTCAAAAAGGGGCCAGTTACCCTAAAAAAATCTCCCAGAAGGCATCCCCTAGGTAACTTGCCCAAGTATTGCATTGCCATAACTTAACAAAAACAAACTGTCCCAAATATGTTGGACCCTGTCCAGCCACTCCTATCGTGGGCCTGCCTGAACCCATAATGGACCTAACAAAAAGGCCCTCTTAGTGCCACACGGGTAGTGTTACCACCTTTTCAAAATCGCTGACCTAGACGGCAGGTGAGGTTTGTTCGAACAGAAGTTCCTGACGCATGCGCAATGTCATTTTATAATGCAAAGAATAATGTGCAGTGAATGCCAGTTCTAAATCAGTTACAGTTAGGGACTGGGAAGACTTGGATAGGAGTAACGTAACTAACTAAATTAAGAAAAAAACAACTATGGATGACTTAGCTCTATTGGATATTGGAGACGTGTACGAATACGAATCAAGCAAAAAAGCAAAAACAAAAGGTTGACATGTCGTGCACAATATTCCCGGGCAAAATTAGTAGTTCACCCAGACAGTGAGTCGATTCCCGGACTGTCCAGGTGAAAACCGGACGGGTGGTAACACTACACACGGGAGAAAATAAAATTAATGTATAAACTAAACATAACTGTGTGTTTATTAATTATATCGACTTTTATTTTTAAAGGATATTATCAACTGAGGTAAGACGTCCCACAATCTTTGCTGGCATTGTTCGGAATTCCACTGAACAATTTCTTCCAATATTTTACTTTGTGACATTTCCCTAATTTTATTTAAAAAAAAAAAAACAAAAAAGTGATCAAAATAAGGAGAAAGTTAAAATGTCATTCGGATTTGCCGCCATTTCACCGCACACGTGTTTGTTGTTGTAAAGAAAATGTGGTACGAATTCAAATTTATTTTTGAAAAACCATATGAATTTTATACGGGATTGCAAAAATTATAAACGAAAAAGCTAATGCGTTGTAATTTTAATGTAATTTAAAATAAATTATATATTATTTAATTTTAATGAAATAACATTTCTTTTTATGCAGTTTCGCCTTTTAGTTATGACATTTTCGCGGGAAATTTTTCGTGCGTATTGCACTTATTTGCGATTGATTTTAAGAAATTTTAACGTTTATTGAATCAATTGTAAATTAAAATAATTTGTTTGTTAATTTTTTCGAAATTAAATATGCCTGTTAACGTTAAAAAGATGAAGGATACGTTATTAGATAGGTGAGATGATAAAACGTTTTCTATCAATGATTTAGCTCATTACAGACTGAAATTAATCAGTTTCACAATTAAATTTAATGCATTTAAGACGAATAATTAAATAAATGTTTGCTTTGATCCCTTTTTGATTTATATTAATAAAATCCTATCTTACTGTAAATTTAATTAAAATAAAGTAACTTAATTGATAATTTTGGCTTAGGAAATGTGATTATAAATAATACACTGTATTCAGAATCTTGTTTTAATGAATTATTATTTATTATTCAATTACTTGGGATATACACTAATGTATAATTTTCTTTTAAAATTAAGTTTATAAGATTTTTTTTAAATTTAAATTGATATGCTTTAGTAATGTACTGTACTGTGCATTGTTAAAGTAAAAATACTATAAATTTGTGTATTCAGTATATAAACATAATTTCCATGTATTGCATATCCTTTGTAAATATGTGTTTATTATGTTTGTTTATTTAATAACAATGTAAATAGATACTTGAAAAATGCAGCTTTGAGTATGACTCTGGTCTCATTTACCTTTCCAACAAATGTTTTCGGCCCCTTTCATAAGCCTGTTTCAGGTCTCTCAAATTGTCAATGTTTCGTATTGGAATCAAAGGTGTGTTTTTTCAAGTATTTAAATATTATTTCAGCTTGGATTCTAATAGATGTAAATAGATACATATTAGTCAAAATTTCTTTAAGTTATCAAAATATATAATCTTTTCTAGTGTTAAAATTTGAAGTTTTTTTTTTTTTAAATTAACTTAATAAAAAAAACTAGCTTTTAATTTTAAACACATTAAAATTTGCTGTGGTGTTTAATTGTAAAATCATATAATTTGTGTTTTCTTTGTAAAAACAAATGAGCACTATTATAAGGTGACCAGACGTCCTGCTTCTGGTGGAACAGTTTGTCTTGCAGTTTTTAAAAAGTCCCGACTTTTGGAAATATTAAACTTCTGTCAATTATATCATAAACTTATGTCTTATGCTTAAGATTTGTAAAGATTATTTTGTATCACATGTATCAGTATCAAGGTGTGCGTGAAAATTGGAAATAAAGAATGCTGCATCGACAAAACCCTTTGTGTTTGTGACAAAGATCGACAGAAAATGATTTTGGGCGCGCAGCTGCAGCATGCCCCCCTTTTTTCTTTTGTTAACCATCCATAAAAGTATAAGTCAGTCAGAAGAACAAGGTGCAATAAATCGTGCAAATTTCATAAATCATGCCAAAAAGTTCTATAGTAACTGCTTAGATTATTCAGAAGAGTGGACTGTACAGTACATTACAATGACATTGAACATTTTCATTGGGTTATATATATACTAAAACAAGAACTTAATTGGGAAGATGTGCAAAAATCATTTGATCACATTAGTCAACCTTTTCCAGATAGTAATATTTTTGAAAATGATTTTTTTAATGAGGTATCATTATTTAAAAAATATATTGATAAGGAAAAGGTTAAATCTTGGGCAAATCTCAACAGAGAATAAATGGTTAGAAATATTTCATTTTGAAACACACTGTTCCATACAATAATGCATTAAAAATTCTGGAATACATGCTGTCCTTACCAGGAACCAATGCCGTGACTGAATGCGTTTTTTCTATTGTAAATAAAGTGTGGACATCTCCTAAATCACAATTAAGTGTTGAGACTTTAAAAGCCATATTATGTGTGAAATATAATTTAATAAATTCTTGCAAAAAATTTCATGACATTTTAAACGACGATAGCACTCTACTAAAAAAATTCACTCAATATGTGAAAGAATAAAGAGTTTTAAAGATTTATAATAGTATTATGTATTTATTATATTTGTAAATTTTACATGTTGAAATTAAAAAAATATAATACAATACAATTTTTGTGTTCTTTGATGACAAAATTTTGTTGCTCTATAACAGTTTCTTCAACAAGATAACTATTTCCCCACCCGTCAATTTTGTCCCGATTCACCAATGTTNAAATGTAAAATACAACGGCAGTTCAACTTCTGTCTGGAATTTCAGTAAAGGCAATAGAATTACATGTGCTATGTAGTCCCAATTTATGTTTTTTTCTCTACAAACTCCCCTCCTCATGCTGACACTTCTTTCATCATTTGGCTATAGAATAGAAGTCTTTTGACTAGTGTCAAAGAACAGCCTTGCACATGGTAGAGGCAATCAACAGACTTAGGAAATTCTGGATCACCTGGCCTACAGTCTGGATCTGTCATTCGGCAATTATTACCGGTATGGCCTTTCAACAATGCTTTGGGAGACAGAAGATTTACCTGGAATGCTGAAGTCTCTGGCTGCAGAGAGTTGTCATGTAATGACTCCAACACAACCCTAAAGACCAAAATGATGAGAGAAGCATCAGTTTGTGTAAGAGTACTTAAAAAGAAACAGACTATGTAGCAAAATTCAGACTATGTAGCAAATACAGTTCCATAAACATTACTGAAATTCCAAACAGAAGTTGAACTGCTCTTGTACATTTATTAGAATACAAAATAACTATGATAAAATACTCTTGATATAAATAATAGTATTTTCCAACATACAATCTGTAGATTGTGTGTTAAAAAGCTTTTGACTAATTAAGCTGATTATATGCCATTGTATATTATCTGTAACAATTTTTCCACATCAAAAATATGGCTCTAGCATCATTTTAGTTTTTATTACTTTAAGAAGTCATCTTAACATGATAAAATTTGATGGTATGTCTTATTGCTGTTATGTTTTAAGTGGATGCAAAAGAAACCCAGAACTATTCACTTCTAATTGTGAATGGAATATGGTTTGTTTAGATATCAGGGCTGTGGAGTCAGAGTTGGGAGGAATTTCTGGCCAAAGAAGTCAAAGTCCAAAAAAAATGTGTTGACTCTGACTCCCACATTTTAAACTTACTTTTTTTTTTTTATTTAAATGAAAGAAAATTTATTATATATTTATTATATTTGTAAATTTTACATGTTGAAATTAAAAAAATATAATACAATACAATTTTTGTGTTCTTTGATGACAAAATTTTGTTGCTCTATAACAGTTTCTTCAACAAGATAACTATTTCCCCACCCGTCAATTTTGTCCCGATTCACCAATGTTTAAATCTGGTCACCTTACACTATTAGAAACTAATAGTGTATGGTGATTTGTTCAATGTAAATGTTAAAAATATTGTGGAGCTTTTTACTTGATTTATATCATCCTTCAAACCTGTAAAAAGTATTCCAGTGAGTACATTTTAAGTTTTTTTTTTTTATGTGAATTATTAATCTATCAAATACCATGTTTTATCAAGCCTAATGTGCTATTGAATCTAATGTACCTGACTTTCAAGACATCAAAACCTGAAAAAAAGTTAACTTGTGAATGTAATGTGCATTCTATGTCACCAAACATGCATCATCAAAAAGTTAATGTATTTAAACATCTTTTTAAAAATGGTTTTATTTTTGTGTTTATAGTGTCTCATGATGTCCATACAGAGGCATAGCTACCGTAGAGCAGTTGGAGCAAATTGCTCTAGGTGCACGAATCATGAGGGCACCAAGTTAGAAAGGACAAAATAAAAACTTGTAAAAACATTAATAAAAAAATTTTTGGATTTAATAATTAATCAATTAACTATTAAATTTGAATCCATTCGGCACAATACTCATTGTACTGTATACTTCAAGTGCTTATCGCCTGTATAACTTGTCACGTTATCTGATAAAAATATTCTGGAATAATCAGAATTGTTACAATTGGCATATCCCTTCAACATTCACCTAGTTTTGGACCTCAACTGCTACGATTTAAAATGTGTTTTTATAGTCAGGTAAAAGAAGTTACTTCTATAAGCGAAGTTGCTGAACTATTTTTATTTCACACCACAGCTTCAAATAGTGCAACAACAACGACAGCAGAACGATGTTTTTCAAACCTAAAATTAATCAAAACTTATTTAAGAAGCACCACCATCTTAACTCTGATTACTATATCCAGGGGCAGATTTACATAGGAACTAATAGGACTTAAGCCCTGGGCTCCCAAGTGTCAAGGGCCCACAAAAATTGAATTATTGTCATAAATTTTTTACACTTTTTCATTAACAATGAGCATTTATTGTATAGTAAAAAAATAGTTAATATTCATAATAATATAATAATGATGATTTATAGTCATAAATTTTTTACACTTTTTCATTAACAATGAGCATTTATTGTATAGTAAAAAAATAGTTAATATTCATAATATAATAATAATGATGATTTATAGTATTATTTGTATTAATAAAAAAATGGGTTCCCATTGGACTTCAATAAGCCCTAGGCCCTGAAAAACCTAGATCTACCCCTGACTATATCAATTGAAAAAACAATAGCTTGTCAACTTGATCTGAAGAAAGTGATTGAGTGATTGACTGATTTGCAAACGAAAAAGCAAGAAAACAATTTTGAAGTTTTTTTTATGTATTATTATGTATTTGTTATGAAACTAAACTTGCTTATATTTTCTCAATATAGTTTATATAATATGTAGTAAATATTATTATGTACTTTGTACTTAAAGAATTATATTTTGTTTTATTATTATATTTATACTAGCAGATGAGCCTGGTGTTGCTCAGGCAAAAAGTAATGATAGCAAAGATTAAGATTATTAGTTTATAGGTGATCTTACTCATTTTCACTGGGTGCATGAATTAGGTCCCCCTCTTCCAAGACTAATTAGAGAATCTTTAGATGGGTCTAAAAATATGCTCGATTTCTCGCAAAAACGCAAAATATCGTATCTAAAATAGTACAGTAGAAGCTAAGTTCTTCAGGGTAATCCTTAATGATCACCATTTTAACAGCAATGTTTTACATCAGTATGTACAAACATGAAATTTACCAGATACTATGTGTCCGGTAAATTTCATGTTTGTACATACTGATGTAAAACATTGCTGTTAAAATGGTGATCATTAAAAAATTTCGACTGTGATTTTGTATTGGACTTCAGATCCTCTGTACCTGAAGTTATAAATCATTTCATGCTATCTAAATCTTCCCACAGTAGTTATATACTAGTAAATAACACTAACAAAACCTTTAAAAGTATACCAGCAAATATAATTTAATATAAATATGCTATGACAAACATTTTTGATTTGAATAGGATCTGCTTCAGGTCAAAATAATTGATAGAATTAGAATACTAAAAGATCAAATTTAAATTTTTAAATTGCTGGAATAATTAAATACAGTAATACCTCGACTTACGCTACCCTGACTTACGCGAACCCAGAGTTACGCGATTTTCAAATCTCGTCGATTCCTCTTTTATTTGAGCGCCACACAACTCTCGATTACTCACTCCCCCCACACTATTGTTCGGCTTACGTGTTCCAACACGTGTTGCGAGGAATTGACATATAACTACAATTTATTTTGTGTTATTTATTTCTGTGTTTGTTATATCTACTGAGACTCGAGAGACTCTACTATGCCATCCAAACAAAGTAGAACTGATTATTCTGCATCAAACAAGAAAAACTTTATCTTTGGAATGTAAAGTTAACATTATTAACTTTGATACAAAAATGAAAATTTGTGAATTGGCAAAGAAGTTTGATCTACCGGAATCGACGGTCAGAACAATTATAAAAGGTAAAGATAAAACTCTCAAAGCTGCGAAAAATGCTCAATCTTTAAATTCAAGCATCATTCGTAAATGTCACGGTGTTATTGCTGAGATGGAAACAGTGTTAAAATTATGGTGTGATAATCAAGTAAATCTGAAAAATTGTATAATAGTATAATTTGTTATACATATATATTATCTAAGATTTTATTAAACATTTTATTTCTAAATTATTGTTTTTTTAGTCTCCAGCCCCAATTAAACATTATTTGTATGAAATTATATCCCGACTTACGCGGTTATCGCTCGGTCCCACCTATCGCGTAAGTTTGGGGTATTACTGTATTAAAATAAGTATAAAAATCACATCCATGTGTTAACATTAAGAATAAAAATTAACAAAAAAATTTAATGAATATATTTGTTACAAATCTTAATGGAATTAATTGATTTTTATTTCTTGTTAATGTTGTCAAGATCATCTAAAAAGACATGCATGTGAGATGTTTCCCTCCTCTTTAAAATTGATACATTACCCCTTTAGTTCAGTTTTACAAATTTCTAGATCTTTTAAAATTTTGATCTGATCAGTGCGAAGGGTGCATCTAATGAGACTGGCTTGCTGTAGTTTAGCTTCCATGCCAGTTTCAGAAGCATATATTGCTAGGGCAGTGGTCTGAATATGTTACATCAAAAATATTTGTTGTAACATATTTATATTAAATTATATTTACTAGTATTCTTTTGAAGGTTTTGTTGGTGTTATTTACTATTTCATGCTATATTAATATCATGTCCATATTCCTATTTTCAATATTCATTTCCATATTCTAAATATTCATAGTCCAAATTTTATGTTAAAATGTCTACATACATATGTAGTTCTTCATATAGTTGATAACTCTCCATTTAAACATAGCTTTACAAGAGACTTATCTACTGGACATCATTTGCTCAGTTTGCTATAGTTTGAAAGACCATCAAAGCATCTTCACCAGCATTGTTGTATCAATTGCTTCTATCATATGTTTAAAGGTTGTCTGTGGATATTATGCCTTAAACATTGCAATACTGCCATGGTCCATTGATTGGAGAATTGATGTGTTCGCAACAAATAAATATTCTTGATGTTTAAATGGCTATTAGGGATTTCCTGAAGGTTAAGTATATGGCCTGGAGCATTATCCATGAACAATAAAACTTTCTTAACTCGTCATCAAGCGTGTGCTCACTCGAATATAAATTGCACACCCACAGTCAATCCAGCACCAAATTAAAAAATTAATTGATAAATATTTAACATCAAGAAACTGCTATTTTTACTTTAGTCTACTTTCCAATATGTTTCTAGTTGAATTCAGTCAAAAAATTTTAATTTAATTATAATTTATTGAAGATTTTAATTTTTTAATATTAGAAGGTAATTAGCATAAATTACATGGTGTTGTGTTTCATCTTTGCCCCTGTTCAAGTTTATTGTCCTAGACACATGCCAATGTTTATTGACAAGACTATGTCTTGTTTATAAAATCGTACTGCCACTCGTTCTTACCAGCATAGAGGTATGAAGGAGTACATGTTGAGAGTTGATATTTGGCACAGAGTATTAGGTGCCCAAATCATTTGCGCATAAAAAAATCCAGACTCGTAGGTAGTCAGGGGACTGAGAATCGAGTCAAAATAAAATATAAAATGGTGATCCTCTTCTACAAACAGGCAAAACAGCCACCTCATCCCACCGAAGTCAGGTAGGGGAGAGTACCACCCACAGTCGTTCTAAGAAGTGAACTCTGACCTTAGGACTGAACACGTAGTTTCTTCTATGTTAAATAAAATTTGTAATCTAATTTTGTAAATTTGGGAGTTCTTCAAATATAATGTTAAAATGGTTTTATGTCGTTACAAGTGGGTTTTTTTAACATTATCTAGTATAGTAAAATCATAAGACTGATAAAAATTAGATATTATATTAGGGTTGTCATTACATTCGATGACATTATAATCGGGTTAAATTGTATATTGTTTATGCGAAATAAAAAAATAATTTTGGACGATACAATAGCCACAGGATTATTTTTTTCAAAAACGGGAACTTTTCACTATGCATCGACAAAAATTCAACCTGGGCCGACACGCAACAGAGAGAAATTTTGGATTAGATAAGTTAATTTGATCGAAGTTGAATTGTGGACGATCTCGTGGTCATGGCCGGCGAAGTTTGAATGATCGTGCCCAAAAGCAGCGATATCAAAGAAGATAGGAGAATGAGAACAAGACCTGTCTCGAGCATCAAAGTGATTCCGTCTCTGAGAGATAGTCTTGTCTTAAATATGGTTTTGCTGTTTTACTTGTTTTTACTTCTACTGGAATTTAGCATTTATTTCAATCTCACCAACTTTGGTTACACAAGGTGTGGAGATGGGCATCACATGATCGCATACCTGACTTTTACAACAGAAATTTCCTTATCTTGGAAGTTTTAGTTTTTTCTTGATTTTACTTATATTTAACTAACTTTTTTTGATGGATTTTTATATCGTGGGATTATCTGAAGTTGCAGATATTTTTTAAATTAAATTTTACTCATTTATGTCTTTTTTAGATTTTTATATATGATAAAATTCAAAAATTAATTAAATATTTTTGGAAGTGTTAAACTGTAAGTACTGTGTATTTTCCAATATTATTGCAAACAGACATAGTCAATTATTTTATAAACTTATTTATTATTTTAATTTTATGCAATGCAACAAGCTCAGAATTGCGTAATTACCAAAGCACTTTATTAACATGTTGACAGGTCTTGATTTAATTACTTTTTCATTTCAGAATTTTTAATTTAATAATTGTTTATTAATAAGATAAACACAGTTGTCTAATTAGAATAACTTGTGTAATTGCCTAGATACTACTATGCATAATAAATTTTTTTTTTAATTTGATTGTTGTAAATATTAATAAGAGATTATCAAGTTATAGAATTTTTAAGTTTATAAAAAGTTCAATTATAACAGTTTTATCTTACATCTTATTGAATAAGCTAAAGAATATACATTGTATGTGATTTCTTTATTTGACTGTAAATATCTTAAATATATTGAGATGAACTATTTTAATAAATTTATTTTATTTTCAGAGAATATTCAAAAGAAATTGACAATGATGAAGAAATGGAGGTAGAATATTTTTCTGATTTGATAAATTTGAATATTTTTGATGACTTATGATAAATATTTTACAGAATGAATGAAAAGTTTTGGAGAAAAATATTAATTAACATTTATATTTTAATTAGCAGATTAAAAATATTTGAAATGATATAATAATTTTATAAGAGAAATAACAATCTTAATGAAAACTTACTGTATATATTATTTGTACTGTAAAACTAATAGTATAGTATTATTTAGTAAAGAGAGCTTTACCATATACTATACTACACTTAAATATAAAATGCTTTGATTATTGATCATTTTTTGTAATACAGTAGAGCATCGATTATCTGACTCAAGTTGGTCGGATAACTGAAAAATCGGATAACCAAAAAAAATACATTATTAGTATAGTATATTAGTATATCCCATGTAATTAGTATATTAGTATATCGCTATTAACCAACTTTGCATTGAATTTTCATCGATGTTAAGCCTAACAATTTTTTTTAAAAAATAATAATCGTCACTATCGTATCATTAAAAATTATTTTAAAATTATTTTATTGCTCACAAAACAAACAACTACTCATAATTAGAAAATTAAGTCTCGTTTAAATATTGGCCTCCCTTCAATGGTCGAGCCATTGATGCCAGCTAAAACATGCAAAAATTTAACAAAAATAATATTAAAGTAGCCAAGACAAAGACAAATATTGTAATGCCACATCACTAGTGGACATTTGAAATTTGCCGACTAGAACGGTCGGTTAACTGATGTGATGGTTAATCGGGGGTCGGATAATCGATGCTCTACTGTATTCTTAAATATATATATTAGTAATGTTTAGAAGTGCAGAATATATCATGCAAACAAGGTTTGGAGGAAATTAAAGCATAAGCAAATTAATATTAAAAAAATCCCTTACAAATCTCAGGGTTAGTCCAGCAGTGAAAAAATTGTATATTTATAAGTTTCAGCTACTTTCATTTCACAGTGGTAATTTTACACAAGTTTTGTGTTTATTGCTTTAATTTTTGATACAAGTATATTTTGGGTTTAGAAACTGTTCAATTATTAGGTTATTAAATATTGATATGATACTTTTATTTTTTGTAAATACATGACATTTTTGTATTTATTTTCCAATAAACTTGTAAATTTAATCTTTAGATTTGCAGTGATACAGAAAATGAAGTATTCAACAAAAAAGGATTTCACAGATTGGTTGACAATGAATTAAATGATTTGAATAATGAAAATGAAGATAACAACAATAAAAATGAAAAAAGAAGAGATTCCAAACTTTTAGAAATTGAGAAGGTTGTTTTCAAAGATCGAAAAAATGCAGTGAAACGTATGTTTTTATTTTTGGTAGTTTTTTTAAATTAAAAATTGGAAATATGTTTAGTTAGAATTAAAGTTTCTAATTATATTTCATACATAGATCATCAATTTAGGTATGTTAAAAGTATAATAGATGAATATGAATTATGAATCAAGAAGTCAATTTAAGAATATGACTTTTCAAAAAGACTATTTTTATCTTTAATTTAACATATTTTAATTTAATAAATTAAACATATTAAAAATTAGCCAAATAATGAACTATTGCTAGATGTTTTTAATTAGGTTTATATTTATGCAACAGAGAAATAAAAAATTATAATTATTGTAATATATTAGTTAAATACAGCCATGTTAAAGAAAGTCTAACAGTTCATTGTTTAGCTTGTTAATACTAAATAGGCATATTACTCTTTTTATTTAGAAAGTGAAAATTCAGTATCTAAACGAAATAAGAAAAAGAATCAAGCAGCTGACATCACTATAAAAGATATGTTCAAACAAATGTAAGATTTATTAATATATTTATTTATTACATACATATAAATACAGTATTTGAGAATATAAAAATGATATATTAACAACATTTGTTTTGCTGGAAGTATCAAGTTAATTTGATGGTGATAACTTATGAGTTCATTGTCAGTATCAAATTTACTTGAAACACAATCTACTATTAATTACATTGTTCTTGGCAGGTATAATTTTACTTTTAGAAATATCAACTATCAGTAAATATTCACATCTCAATGTGAAAGTGATATACAGTAAAGCATCGATTATCCGACTCAATTTGGGACGCAGGTTGGTTGGGTAACCAAAAAGAATGAAAAAAATACATTATTAGTATAGCATATTAGGATATTAGTATATCTCATGTAATTAGTATATTAGTATATCGCTATTAACCTATTTCGTATTGAATTTTCATTGATGTTAAGCATAACAATTTTTTTTTTATAATAATCGTTGCTGTGGTATTGTTAAAAATTATTTTTAAATTATTTTATTGTTCACAAAACAAACAACCACTCGTAATTAGAAAATTAAGTCTCGTTTAAATACTGGCCTCCCTTCAATGGTTGAGCTGATGTTGCCAGCTAAAACACGCAAAAATTTAACAAAAATAATATTAAAGTAGCCAAGACATAGCCAAATATTGTAGTGCTATATCACTAGCGGACATTTGAAATTTGCCGACTAGAACGATCGGTTAACCAATGTGACGGTTAATCGGGGGTCGGATAATTGATGCTTTACTGTAATATTTTTTTATATTTTAATAAAATTTAATTTTAGAAAATTGTCAGTTAGGTGTAACAAATATAGTCTTTTCAATTGTTCACATTTTACTTTCCTGGCTGTTATGTATACATAACAAGGGAAAGTATTGGAATCATGTTTTTTGCAAATCTTCATGTTTTGAGACTTATTGAACTCAAAAAAGTAAAAAAAAAAGCAGCAAAAAATTCCTTGTATGTGTATGTGTTGGTGTTTATTTTGCTTCATATCTCAGGATGGAGTAAAGATTAAGAAATAAAGTTATGCATGGTGGCTTGTATATGAGGGGCATTGATGTTATTAAAATTAATGGCCGTGAAAGGTTGAGAGGGTGAGGAGATAAAAGGGTGTCAATATGTCATATCTGCAGAAGGGTAGGACTTAATGAAGATTTTATTTGTTATTAACATTTACACTTTTTTTATAAAACTCATCCCTACCCTCAAAATTAAGCTTTTTGCCAAATTGTAGTAATTAAAAATTAAAAATTTTTTATAACAAAATCTGATAACAAGTGGCACCAAATACAATTTTATTAGGTTGTTTGGAAAGTAAGTTCATTTTTTTACCACTAGATAGATTAGTCATATTTTTTCCGCCATTTTCATTCTAAACCGTATTATCATTATATAGTTTGACAGCTAGCATTTTAAGGCTTATTTGTAAAAAATTTTGTTTGATTTTGTGCAATTGTTTATTTTTTGTGTCCCATCAAATATGGAAGATCGAAAGCATCATTTTCGGCATATTTTGCTTTTTTATTACCAAAAAGGTAAGAATGCTGTTCAAGCAAGAAAAAAATTGTGTGACATGTATGAAGAAGATGTATTGACAGAACGACAGTGCCAAAACTGGTTTACAAAATTTCGTTCTGGCAATTTCAATATTGAATATGCACCATGTTCTGGATGGCCAGTTGAAGCCAATGAAAACAAAATAAAGGTACTGATTGAAGCAAACTGCCGAATAACAACACGTGAAATCACTAAGAGATTAAATTTGTCAAATTGAACTGTTTATGATTACTTGAAACAAATTGGTTTCATTTCGAAGCTTGATATATGGGTTCCACATGTTTCCCTTAAAATCCCACCAAAGAGAGATGTTCTCTTTGATGGAATTTTAAGGAATTTTTTTTTTTTTTTTTGAAGCTTTAACCAGACAATTTAACAATTGGTTCGAAAGTGTATTGCCATCAAGTAAACAAATTGAGTAATATCATCAAACAGAAAAGGCGGCCAGAATTGATCAACAAAACAGGTGTAGTGTTTTACCACGATAATGTCAAATTTCACACAAGTTTGGTAACTTGTCAGAAACTGTTATAACTTAGATGGGAGGTGCTATCACACCAACCATATTCGCCAGATCAAGCACACTCAGATTATTACTTGTTCCGGTTTATACAAATTTTTTTTAACTGTAAGACATTTACTTGAAATGACAATGTCAAAAATCACTTGTATCAGTTTTTTGTAAGCAACGATCAAAACTTTTATTAATGTGAAATCATGCTACTACCAGAGACGATGACAACATGTATTTGACCAAAATGATCAATATATAATTCAATAAAATATTTATTTATTATAAAAATATTGTGTTTTTTTCCATGGGAAAAAAACGAACTTACTTTCCGAACAACCCAATATTTCTTGCTTAATAATATAAAAGTTTTTTTTAATAAAAACTCATAACATCCAGGAAAGTTACAGAAAATCATGCAACTCATATTGCTAGATTTTTTAATATCTTATTGGATGTTGATGTATAATTTTTACTTTACATAAATGTTATTTTAAATTCATGTAAACTAAAAAGTCTATATCAATATTACAATATACTTTATACAATATGTGATGGTTATTATTTTTTTTTAATAATCACAAACAAAACAACAATCTTTAATATAATCAAAATAAATTAACAGAAAACAAATGTTCTCAGCCACCTTCAGTAGTTATCTTTAGGTTTAATATAAAATTTTAAAGCAATTAGGTTCTAGAATATCAAATTGTTTATAGAGGTAATTACTTTATAATTTTATGTTTGTTTTAAAATAGTGAAAAAAAATTGCTTATTTGTTAATTTACTATTTGATACTAAAGGTTGTGTTTTAAATCACTTGTCTAATCAATGTTTGCCATTGTGTAATAATTTTTTTTAAAAAACTATTATGACAATTTACAGTGGGCGATTGGTTAACGAACAGTTTGGATAGCGAACAAATCGGATAACAAACACTTTCAGAAAAGATTTTTATGATCAGACAACGAACACATGTTCAGTTAACAAACACTTTACTGAACAAACATAAAAAGAAGCGACGGAAAATAACGAAAACCGATTGATTTTCTCGTGTCTTCGGGTAACAATTCAAAACCTTTCAGAGCGCAGGAGACGTCAACATCGACATCAACCCAATACCGATCAGATAGTATAATATTCCTCCAAATTTTGAAACTTTTCCTTGTAATTCCAGCTTTTTGTTTACCTTTCTGACAAATAATTTTTTATAGTATTCGCGAGACTGTCGGACGTGCACTTGTTAAGTTTTGCATCGGGGTTTATTTATGAAAGATGAAAGTTTAAATGTCTCATCGGATATTCGTTAACGTTTTATCACCAAATTTCGAATTTCATCAGGGCCTTGCATTTAAATAATTTTTTGTGGGCTAGTTGATTTCTGTTCTCTGAATTTTTGTAAGTGCTTTTCTGAACTTTTTATTTAAAAAAGAAACTGATAATATTATGGAGCCTAAAAAGAGGAGTGTCAAGAACTGTGCTCACTGTAGAAACCAAGCAAGAGATAATAGCCAAGGTAGAAAGTGGGCAAAAGATGTCTAATATTGCTAGACAGAATGGCTTGAACAGGTCTACAGTAGGCACAATCTTAGCTATGAAAGATATATCAAGAAGTCTTAAGCTGCTAATTGATTAATGAAAATCACATCTGAGAAATAAAGATCATTTTAGAGCTCATAATGGAACCTGAAACTGATCTGATAACAGAAGAACTCCAAGAACTCTCAAATGAAGAATACCAAGAAACTCAGCGAGATGTGTTTTCTTTTGAAAAAGAAGAAGACAAAAGAGGACCAATGTCGACATCTACTACTAAAGATCTTTTGAAGAAGTGGGAGAATGTCAGAACAACGATAATCCAAGTGGCATCTAAACCAGAATAAGGTTAATGGGGTTGGGAATCTCTACAATTACAATACTATTAATTACTTCTGAAAAATCCTGATAAAAAGAGAAAAAATCGACATTGGACAGATTCTTTAACCCCCACAAGCGGAAAAAACATGACTAATAAAAATGCAAGATTACATATATATGTATTTTTACTATTATATGTAAATAAACGTAGTAAAAAAGTATATATTTTTTACTTTTTAGAGTCTCCAGAACGAATTAATCAAATTTCCATAAACCTATGGTAAATCGATAATCAGTTAACGAACAATTTGGATAACGAACAAAGTCTTGGAATGAATTATGTTCGTTAACCGATCACCCACTGTATAGATTAGATATTTAATTATGAAATATTTTTTTCACTACACTTTACAAAAGTTGTAGAACAATTATGCTTTAATTTTCTATGGATAAAGGTAAATCATCAAATATCATGCATAATTAATGTTTTCTTTCTCATATTATATGATGATTAGTAGAGAAAGTTTAAAAATTAAAAACAGTCCAAAAAGAAAAGGGTAAAACTAATTTTATTGTTAATGACAAATGAAGTTTTATAATATTTTAAAATCTAAATTTCTTAAGAATAACACTTAAGTGATTTTTGTCTTTCTACAGTATGTAAAATAATCTAAAGCCCAAACTGTATTCTAAATGTGTAAATAAAACTCTGCTGGTTGTTTTGTGTTATGACAATGCTAATTTTGATTAAATTATTAATATAATTTTTTTTGAAGAAAATCATGTTGCCAGCATGTATGAATTTTAATAATTAAATATTTAATATCTTTTAAGTGAAATCTTGTAAGTGAAAAATAAATGTTATCTTTGCTCAAAAATGAAATAATATTTGATTTTCATGTTTTTCTTTCTTATATTAAATATGAAATTTAAAAAAGAAGTGTATATAAAAAAAGTGGCAGAAAAAAATGAAACTATTAAACACAAAATAATAGTTAGATGATCCTATTGTAAATACATCTAGCATTGGATCATGAAGTGCATGTATCTATATATATAAAAATGAATGTGTGTGTGTGTCCTTCATGCATTACTACACCGTTTATCTGATTGCCGTTAAACTTTGAGAAGTTGTTTAATATACTCCCATGAAGGTTTCTGGCATTTATCCTATGATAGATGGCACACGTTTACACGAGCATTCGAGCACTGTGTGTTCGATCGATTTCAAATTGTGAAGACCATTTCCCCCCTTCAAAAAATATCTCTATATATGCATTTGTGAACTGTTATTGACGATATTTGTAATAATTTTTGTTTAATCACTTTATTTCAACTTTTTTTTGCTAATTATGTATTCGCTCGAACTTCGTTAAAACCTTAACTGTACCCCGAACAACAACCGAAGTTGTAGGAAGAAATTCGCGTATTTTACCGATCTAGGTATCCCCCCTTTTCCAAATTTTAATATCGACTCAAAATAATTTAAAAAGACAAATTACAATAAAACGGTTTATTATCCAACTATCAGAAATTTCACAACATGCCAAGGAAGAGAGGAAGGAGCAATTAAATAATTAAAATTATAAAGGATTAAAAAATATATATATAAAAATGGGGAATATCGCACTTCTGACAATCGCTGCGAGTGTGTGGGCTAAATTTGGAGAATCCGTGCTTCTCGCATGGACAACTGTATGTGGCCAGCTCACATGTCAGAAAACCTTCTGATTTATTCGTGTACGCACCAGACGAAAAAACAAAAAATATCGTGTATCCACGAACACTCCAATAAATAAATAGAATTGAAACAACACTTTGAAATGTTTTTCCGATGAAAATGAATAATAATAATAAGTTTCAATAAAAATGATAAAATGTAAATTGAATTTTATCATAACGAGTTTGCTTGAATTTCCTTTCTTCTGAGATTGCAGCAATGTGCAATAGGTAAGCTAGTTATAAATAAATGTGAAATGACTTAAAAGAAATAAGGACTTACATAAAAGTAATAAAACAGATAAATTTAATTTAATTTATTAATTTAATAAATTTTTATGTTTTATTTAATTTTTATAATGTACTGTACAATGTGTTCATATGATACTGTACATATATATTTTACATTAATTCTAATTAAAATTTTGTAATCTAAAAATATTTTTAAAATTTAGGAGAAATAAAGAGAAGCATGATAAAAATAATAGAGTAATATATTCAGATGTTGATAATGAAGAAATTGAATTTCAAAATAAGAAACAGAAAATCACAAATAAGTATGTTTTGTTATTTATTTATTAGCAAAATATTAATTTATATGTGGTATGCTATATATAATATTTATGTAATCTTTTAGTGAAAATGAGATAATCTCAAAAAAAATCATTGAAAATAAGCAACCACCAATGAAATGTAAAGAATGTAGACAATTACTTGATGATCCTGATTTAAAGATGTTTTCTGGAGATCCAGAAAATGCTGTAAGAAGTTTTTTTATATAAAAATAAGTAAATAGATCAATTTTAAATTACTTTTAAATACACAAAATAGTTTTAGACAAAAATTTATTTATTTAAGTTATATATAATATAAGTTAAAAGGCTATATTACTGTCAGTTAGTATCCCCAAAATATTATGTTGGGGAGACTAAATGCCAGTTGGGAAAGTGATTGTCAGAGCATATGGAAGCAATAAGACTAAAAATTAATAATTTACCATGATTTCATCATTGTCAGAAAAATAATTGTAATATCAATATAAATAACATAAAAATTGTGAATAAGGAGAAAAAATATCATAAATAAAGAATTAAAGAACACTACATAATTGTTATGCAGAAAAATGCTATTAATTTAAATTCTGGCATGAGTGTAGGTGCATGCTGGAATAATGTAGTTAGAGGTATAAGTACATCTTCACACAAGGTAGTTTGTTATCAAAATCATGATGTTTGTAAGGCAAACATTGGTATGGATTGTGATATTATATCCACTGAAGAGGCCCTTTATAGTTAGGATGAAATGCATTTGGATTTATTAAACTAATAAAGCTGGTTCCTTTTAGAAGAAAGTTGAAGTCTGTGTAAAATCCTATTTTAAATTTTTTAACTTTTACTTTTTTAAAAATATAACCTTTTAACTTATCATAAAACCAATTCCATTGTTAAATTTTACAAATATTTTTTTATATATAATATATATTTATTTATATATATGTAACTCATTTAATTTATTTGATTTAAAAGATAGAAAAATTATTTAATGATAATTTATATAAGATTGGAATGTTCAGTTTATTAATCAGTATTTAATATAATAATTTACTTAGAGTGGTAATAAATTTTAATTAGAGTTCAAAAATTTCAGTTAACTCATCCATTTTCAGGAACAAACAGCAAACAAAACAATTAAAATTCAATTTAAAAGGATGATTTAATTTAATTAAAAAATTAATTTAAAATTTAAATTAAACTGAAACAAAAGGAGTAATTATTTTATAAGAATTTGAGACAAATCTGTAACATTTTCACTTTTCAGGAATGACACAATAATGATAGTTTTGATTTTCTGATAAGTTATTTCACCACAAAAAGTGATAAAAAGTACCTTTTTACATCTCAGGAACACATTTACTTGCTCTTTTTGATTAAGATTTTATTCAGTAAAGAGGTTTTCTTGATATGCACAATTTTCTTTTTAATGAATTTATAAAATTTCCAGATTAAGAAAAATCTTTAAAGGATTATTTTTGCTAAACTTTGTAAAATAAGATGATGATACATAAAAATTTCTCTCTTCTTTATTAATTTTCATAACCCATAAACAGTACAATAACAATGGTATTGATCTCTTATAGCAGTGGTTCTTAACCTTTTTATACTTGCAGCCCATCAAATATTTCATAATTTTTTTGTGACTCCCATTTTTTTTAATAATTTATATTTGTTAAATTATCTATAATAAATTGATTTTTTATTATTGCTTTATTTTTTATATAATAAATGTAAAACATAACTTAACATTATTTCATTATCTATATAAATAACATTCAAACTTCACAATTAAACATAAAAACTCATTAACTTCTTAGAATTACTTTGGAAGAAAAGAAGTAAATACTGCGGTGTAAGTAGCATATTTGCATCTATTTCTTCTGTACTAACAAAGTTGTATGTAGGAAGAAATAAGAAATAAAAAAAAATACTAAATATGAAAACTTTATCTTTCTTATTTCACTTTTCAATATGATATTTGGTTATACATCAATTTTCTTTTTATTATATTCTGAAGGAAATTTTGCATAATTTGGCAGCCCCCTTGGCAAACTTCTTATGGACCCCCAGGGGGCCACAGCCCTCTCTTAAGAAACACTGTCTTATAGGAACTTACTGTCAAAAACTGATTTTAGTACTTTGCATATAAAAAGCATTTTTTAATGGATAAAAAATTTATTAGAGATGAATAGTGTGTTAAGTAGTACAGATGTAAGGATAAATTTAAGAAAAAAAATGCAATTTTCAATATCATTTATAAATGGAATTTTGTTTATCACTTCTTGATGATCAAATAGTTTACAAAAAAACTGTCAATACTAATATCATCATGTTATTCCAGGACACAAAAATGAATAAAGAATGCTGATTATTTACAGATTGATCCTCAGATATTATAAATTTTAATAAAATTAATCTGCTTTGAGGGGTTTTTCATAGATTAATTTAGATTAATTTAATTATTAATATAAGGTGCTTAATTTGATTTACAGCATGACTATTTCATAATGAAAATGGAGTGAATCTATTTTTCTCTTAGGAAACTTGAAAACTTTAACTTCATTTACAGATATTAAGTTATCTACAACTGAAAGACACTTTATACTGCTTCTGATTTGAATTATTTATGCTCATTTCAAGGATTATCCTGTTTTTTATTTAAACAAATTCAAAGTTTGTAATACTTTTGATTTAACTGAGACTGTACTTAAAAGTTGTCAAATAAGTCTTTAAATTTAAATGAATAATAGATTGCAATTTACTTACTTTTTAAAGCATTAAATCAGTTGATTGGATCAAATTATGTATAATCTGGTAATTTTTGATGATTTACATACTGTCAGTACTTTTAAGTTATTATGACTGTATGTAAATTTTTAAGATTTTATTTGATCTTAGATCAAATAAATAAGTAAAATGTATATATATTTTTAAACAATATTTTATTATAGGTAGAGGAATTTATAATGCTCACAGATCCAAAGCTTTCTATTTTTACTGGAAATGAAGCTGAAAGCAATTTAGATGATATCAGTGAACGCCCACAACATAAAATTACACATTTCAGGTAAATAATTAATACGAGGGCTATTTTTTAAATAAGGTTTGTTTGTGAATGAGCATCTGCTTTCAGCATGCTTTGCGCGTGTTTAGATGCCATTTGCAGCCGTATTGTCTGTCTGTGTGCTGAACTGTAGAAGTTTATAATGTTTAAGAAAATTGAGTTGCCCGCCAACTGTAAGATACGATCTGTTATTTGATTTCAGCACGAAAGATCATGGTAACTGTCTTTTGGGATAAGAAAGGAACTTTGTTAGTGGATTTTATGTCAAGAGGCACAACAATCAATTCTGATGTTTATTGTGACCTTGAGAAAACTCCGCTGTGCCCTACAAGACAAGCAGCGTGGCCTAATGTCTTCCGACGTCAGGCGGCAGATTTCTTTGGCAGAATTTTAAAAATTTTTGAGCAGTATGACAAATGTTTGAAAAAAAAAATGGAAATTATGTAGAAAAGTAGATAAAAGTATGTAGAATATGGGAAAAAATATATTTTAATGATATTTACAGTATTTTTATTCTTATTAAAAAACATTATTTAAAAAATAGCCCTCGTACAATTGAAGATTTATTTTTCTATTCTTTGTTCTTTTTAAATAATATAATTTTTGTTTTTTTAATTTTAAATAAAAATTATTAGTTTCACTGTAATTTATTTATTGCATAATCTAACTTATTGACTTCAATTAAGAAGGTTTGAATTATTTAAATGAGAAATTATATTTTCATAATTTAAAAAAGAAGAGGGGAAAATGTACAAATTTACTGCTAACACCCCAATCAGAAAAATATTCAAAATAATTTTAAAATATAAAAAATTTTAAAATTATTTATGATTTCAAACAATATAATAGAATATGAAATTAGATAAAAAAAATTTATAAGTTGAATAAAAAAATTAAAATTGAATTTTTTAGAAAATTAAGTTTTGTATTTATAGTGTTTCTATTAATTTCAAGTAATAGTATCTAGTACATTTATAAAGTAGAAATTCATTTATGAAAGATTTTCTTTCAATTACACTCTTTTATACAATTTTGACATTCACTAAAGTTATATTTGAATTTGTAAATTATATACAATGATACCCCGAACTTATGCGATAGGTGGGACCAAGCGATAACCGCGTAAGTCGGGGTATAATTTCGCAATTTGTGTAAAACCCAAGTCGGATGTATGTAAGCTAATAAATGTTCTCGTTAATCTTATCTCATCTTTTGATTCGTTCACGTTAGAAGAAATCACCACATAGAGTCTCTCAAGTCTCCGTAGATATAACAAACACAGAAATAAATAACACAAAATAAATTGTGGCTATGTGTCGATTCCGCACGACACGTCTGAACATGTAAGCCAAACAATAGTGTGGGGGATTAAGTAATCGAGAGTTGCTTGGCACTCAAACAAAAGACGAATCGACGAGATTTGAAAATCGCATAACTCCGGGTTCGTGTAAGTCAGGGTAGCGTAAGTCGAGGTATTACTGTATGTTTAAACACCAATATAGTAACTTTTTTGTTGATTGTGTTTATCAGAAATAGTTTCTTAGACTGCATTGTATTAAAGTAGTATTTTTCATACCTTTCTGACCATAATCCACTTAAAGAATTACATTTTACATCAAAAACATTATTATTTTTATTAAATACTTCGTTGCTGGAAATACTAAGGTGTTTGGCTATTTTAAATATTTTACATCACAAGCCAGTGTACATTTGGCAAAGTACTAAAAAAGAAAATAAAGTTTCTGTCAAATATTATTTTACTAATATTTAACAATATAACTTTGATGAAAGAAAATCCAGAATAATCAGTATAAAATTGAAAATAAGAGTTTTTACATAATGCAATGAATGTATTTTAAATTTGTATTGATTAGATATTTTAACAGTTCTTTTGCAGGTAAATTTAAATTTTAGTAAGCACTGGATATTTTGTAAAGAAATAAACACAATATTGGTGTAATCAAATGTTAGAGTTTTATTCAAATAAATTGATAAATACAATTAAATTTTAATATTACACAATATAATGGGAATAGAACATTATATCACATAAATTCTTTGAAATTCAAAAAACTGTACATAATGGAGTATTTTATGTATTTTATTACAAGTATGAAATTATGATGGCAAACACCACTGCAGTAAGAGTGCAATATAATGTATCATTAAACACAAACTCAGTTTAATACAGTCAAAGTTTGAATTATGAACTTAATTCATTCTTAAAAGTTTTTCACTGATTTGCCTTAAATCAAAGCAATAATAATAGGCTGCTTAATTCATTCTTAAAAGTTTTTCACTGATTTGTTCTTAAATCAAAGCAAATTTTCCCATAGGAAACAATGTAAAATGGATTAATCCATTTCCAACCACCAAAACTAAACTTTTTTTACCTTTTCAGCTGTATTTCATGCATAAAAATATGCCTACAAATGCAATATAATGTTATATATGATATAATATTATCTATATCTATATCCATTTTACACACATACACACATACACACACATACATATATATATATATATATATATTAAAAACAAAATGTTCTGTCACTGTCAACCAAAACCAAAACCATCGCTTTACAAAAAAGGGCTATAAATAAAGACTTGACTTTCCCTGGATGAAATACAGTATAACCAAATTAATCAAGACAGACAACAAATACTTTATTCACACTTTCTGAAATATGTTTCAATTGATTTGATTTTAATTTTAATTAATTAATTAATTTTTAGTTTCAGTTTCAGTTTAAATGCCAGAGTTTTAATTATTATTTTATTATGTTTAGTTATAATTAACTGGCTACCTAGTATTAATAAATACTAAATATTAATAAATTTTTGTTATTTAATTTGAGTTAAGCACCTTTAAACACAGATTCATGGATGTCACTTATGCAAATTTCAATTAACATGGTTTTTATTAATTAATTTGATTTAAATTTAATTGTGGCATGTAACAAAAACTGGAAGTAGTATATTACACACATTGAAATCTAATTTGATTAACAATGTCACCGATGATTAGGGTTGTGATGTCTAATGATGTGAGGTGAATCTCTGCTCCACTACTGAATTGGTAATTTTGTCGTTGATTGACTGGGCCATCAACTTTTTTTAACATAGGAAGTACAGGAAGTTGATCATCGGTGACTGACTCTACTGGTAGCTTGTTTGGAAACCAAGTTATCATATGGCAACCAGAGCAAATATGGTGTTCAAAATTTTATTTATGAATAAATTCTATTTATTCATAAATAAAATTCTATTTATGAATAAATATAATACTGTAAGGTCTCGTTTTATGCGGTGGATACATTCTACAGAAAAGCGCATAAAAAAAAATTCGCATAAAAAAAGACTTTACTTGCCTTGAAAAAGTAGGGATACATTCCGTAATTTTCTAAAATCGCATAAAACCAAAACAACGAATTAAAATTAACTTAAAACCGCATAAAAAAAGTTTGCAGAAATTAAAAGAAATAGGCTGCTTAATAAATTACTTCGAATGTCTGAAAGAAATTCATATAAAAGCTTAAAATAAACTTGTATTCAAACTTAATTCAGTTAATTTTATTGAAAAGTAATATAGTTTTACATTTTTTTTGAATTTTTGGAATGTTTTTTAAGTCTCCAAATTTTTTAAAAATATTAAAAAATATACGGCCAGCT